AGGTACACTGTGGTCATAAAGAGATGGACATGGTCAGAAGGTACACTGTGGTCATAAAGGGATGGACATGGTCAGAAGGTACACTGTGGTCATAAAGAGATGGACATGGTCAGAAGGTACACTGTGATCATAAATGGATGGATACGGTCAGAAGATGGTACACTGTGGTCATAAAGAGATGGACATGGTCAGAAGATGGTACACTGTGGTCATAAAGGGATGAACATGGTCAGAAGATGGTTGTGGTCATAAATGGATGGATACGGTCAGAAGATGGTACACTGTGGTCATAAAGAGATGGACATGGTCAGAAGATGGTACACTGTGGTCATAAAGGGATGGACATGGTCAGCAGATGGTACACTGTCATGTGTCTATGGGGTATTGTGAAGTGGAAGATGTGATACACCAGACCCAACAATATTATTAATTTCGTAGTTAACACATCTATCAGGAAAAAGCTGAGGCTGCTATGGAAACGCCATTCTAATTGCACAAATTAAACAGGTAAATTTACGCCGTCATTCAGCCCTGATGTATTTACTCTAAACTGATTTGTGTTAACTTTCCTTTAGGATCGTAGATGAGAATTTTCATAAATATCTAAGCTGTTTGTTTTTTGAGCTTGTTGAATTTGGCATTTTCACAGCAGCCTCAGCGTTTGCCCAGCTGACCTGTGACCTAGATAACTAGGCTTTGCCATGGCCATTTGTGAGACATTTCTGAGTACAAAATGGTTTATTCAGAAGACCTGAAGGCCACAGAGAAACCACCGGAGCAGTGCCAGACTGATCAACTCCATGACACGCTGCACTGCTGCAGTTATCCAGACAAAGGGAGACCAAACTATTGAGCTCATTCTTTTCAGTTGGTCAGCATTTCTAAAAAAAAATACATTTTTTGTATTTGTCTTAATTAGGGTTGGGCAAAATTGTATCTTGTGCAATTAATCATCAGAAAAACATTAATCGATTATATTTTCCTGTGGTAATGGACTGAATTATAGATCACTTTATCAAGTCCCTCCAGACCCCAAAGCTCTTCACATTTACAGACATTCACACAATGATGGTGGTAAGCTACGATTGTAGCCACAGCTGCCCTGGGGCACACTGACAGAGGTGGGGCTGCCATACACCAGTGCCACCGGACCCTCTGACCACCATCAGTAGGCAAGTTGGGTGAAGTGTTTTGCCCAAGGACACATCGACTGAGACGGCTGGACGGGGGATCGACCCAGCGACCTTTTCAGTTCCAGGACTCCCCTAACCCCTCTGCCACAGCTGCCCAGCTTGGCTCTTAATGATTAATATAATTAATACCAGCAGGCAGACTGACAGGTTTCATCAGTCAGTCCTCTCTGCTTCAAATTTGATGAACATTAAAAAAAATAAAAGTTCTGCAATTTATTAAACATAACTCAGGTTTTACAGCTCCCAGTCTGCCGCCCCCTGCTGGACAGCAGAGCAGCCTGCATCCTCAAACTAAACGTTTGAGTGAATTTATATATAAGCATATTACACACACATATAT